CATTAATAAACTCACTCACATAGCTGCTATTCAGGTGAATACCAGGTAGCAGCAAATTGGTCAGGCATCTGCTTTTTTCATGGTACAACACACGTATTCCACAAGTATAATGAAAGTGTGTTTGAACCGCCCAAGCAAAAGAAGCCTTGCTTTATTGGATTCAAACGTATTCTGTTGTAATTGTGTTTTCTTTGAATCTGGAATATCGAATTGACACATATTTTCAAGCAGCAACAGTTCAATTGGAAGAGAATTAAATTGGTGTAATATTAATTGGAAAAAAATTGGGAAATACTGCACCCCAAAATTCATCTGTTGCCATGGTAACAATTAGGACTTAATGGGCGAGTGTGACCTTTGTCCTAAGTTTTAAAGTTTGTAATAATCTGCTTTGCCATCTAAATTGACAGGTGTCAGTCATTAATCATACCCTTACACACAAGGTAGCGTGATGACTCATTACATTTTGACCAAACTTGGTTGCCCATGGCAACTTTTTTCAGTAGTCTATTTCGGCCCAGGTGGCCGTAATATGGGGACAATTGAGGCCTGAATAACTTGATGGAAGTTGGTTAAATACACTGGCTGGTTGCCAGACTCTGAAGTTCATTATTAAATAGTTTGTGTTCATGCTGAAAATCACGCTTTTTTTTATTTAACACTTGGTGTAATTGCACAGACTGGCTTATTTTTTATTCTACTCAGGCGTGTATATTCGGAAGAGTGGACTGGTACGTCAGTTGGTTAGTCATTTGAGTAGGCCTGTCAGTGTGTAAATTCATGGCCACGTATTTGCTATATCATTATTTTAAACCCTATTTACAAACGAAAAGCTAATAACATGAAATGATTTCATAGCTTAGGCAATTAGGGTGGGATTATTGCCGCGTTCTACTGAGATCCCCGAATGCAGTGCTTATGTTACACGTCAGCTGTGTACCTAAGCCTTGTTATCGCCTAACGCTTACTACTTCAGTGTACAGAGTGTACACAGTCAGCGAAATGTAATTTAGTTGCCCAAAAGCTTGTCAGCGCATTCTCCAAACAGAAAGTATTAAGAGTACTTGGAGGTAGATGGGCCCTCTCACTATAGAAGTCACATGTGTTGTTTTTACAAAAAAGCACAGTAATACTAGTATGTCTTTTGTAAACATAGTTTACCTATCTAGATGAGTGACATTTGCTGACGGTGAGTTGTGTTTGCTGTCTTGTAGACTCACAAAAAGGGTACATATAGTTTGTTTGTAGAGCCTCAACTGCTGTAATCAGGATCGTGTAGTTTAATGCAAATGAGATTGTTGGGGGCTAGGTGTTCAGTTGTTTAACAGTATCTCTACACTCTACATGCTGATGTTAACAGTTAGGCCAACTCATGTTTTTTTTCATTTGTTCGTTGATTTTGCAAAGTGAAGCATTTTTAAGTTTATTGATATAAAGTGCCATTTTAGATATGTTGAATAATGCATACTTTTGTGCCAATATTTAAGAGCAACATTGTAGTGTAATTATTTTTCTGTTTTCTATTTAAAAATCAGATGCTAATTTTCTATAGAAAAAAAAATGGCTGTAAATTATTTTTTAAGAAATTAAAGATTTCAATTCAGGCTTTGAAAAGCAGTTAAAAGCTGTTATTAATAATTAATAAATATTAAAAATGAAGAGTAAAAATTTGACAGAATATTTTTATTTTCTATTAAAGCACTGTGTAGTAAACAGAACAAAACCTTGTCCTTTTTACAAGGTCAATTTTAATTCTTCAATTTACAGTAATTGATCGGGTTTAAATAAGAAATAAAAGAATTATTGTGCGTGTGGCATTCAGTGATTAAAAGGGTATATTGGCGTACAAATCTGCAACTCATCGTGACATCAGACAGACTCAGTGGAGACTGATTTATTGATAAATAATCAATACAATTTAATAAAGTGACTACTTGATGTTCTTATCCAAATCTCTGATGTTATTGTTTTAGTAACTGTTGAGTTCTCTCCTCCCACACATTTGTCATTGATGCGATTAAACTCAAATTTGTTTACTCTATCGGATGACACTGACAAGGGTGGCTTGTACGATGTGCATGTTTTCGAGAATAAAACTCGCTCCAGCTTGAAACCAAAATTCTGAATACTATTAAAAAAAAAAAATGACCATAGAGACAGGTAATAATTATGTAGGTCATGGCATGTTGTACAAAGTGTCTTAAGAAAAACAAGTTCAGTCGGGGTAGGTGCTGATAAGATAACAATTACAATGGGGCTCGGGTTGGGTTCGTGGGTCCGCTACCTCAGTATTTTTGTCACCTCCTTATTTACTAACAAGTTATTGAACTTTTTGAGCAAGTAGTTAAGGGTGTAACGTGCATGTTATCACCGTGTTTAACCACTTAGACACACGTATCCGCCATCTTCTTAAAATCTTGGTTGTACCGCCCGATACAAGGCACAGCACATGTTTTGTGATAGTGTATCTGGGCAGAATCAATCACCGATTGGGCTTTCTTTAATTGCTACACACTTTTATACTAGGTCATGGATCCTTGTGTCTTCAGAGTCATTAACCATGCTCTAAGTATATTTCTCATTTTAAATTTGTCGATTTTCATTAATTTGATTCCCAGCCTGGCAAATATTTCCACCTGTGTAACCCTTGTTAATCTATGTTCTTTTAAAATTTATTTACTGATCTGTTAATCCAAGTAAATATTATTTTTCTCTGAGGATTTTCACACCTGTATGGATGCTATGGAAAAAGTATTGTAACCGCATGTTTTTTTTTCTGCCTCCTGCTCTATTTCACCTTTTGGCCCAGACTTGAACATTGCGTCGTCGTCCCCGTACTCTGAGCAAATCATTGCTGTGAGTGAGTATAGCCGGTAAACAGTTACCATGCCAACATGGCAGAGATTGATGTAAAGATTAATCAATGTCATTGAACACAACAATAGCAACCAGCAGCGTGTCTACACTGCTTTATTTCTTCCTTCACCTTTCTCCCACGGCTCAGCTATAACAGTGAACCAAAAATAAAATTATTACTGTCTCTTTACATGAAGAAGATGAATAGTTGAAATTTTTGTTAATTAAAAAAATGGAAGTGAAATAGCAGTCTGTGTCCAACCTGTCTGTGCTGGACAACTTTTATGAAGTTAATTAGGTAGGGTTAGAAGGTTATGAAAACAATTAAGTCTTAATGTGGACAGGCATAAGGTTTAACTAGTCTCATGTAAACTCTGCTAATGACAAGAACATACGAAATTGACATATAACAATCTAATATTAGTCAGGCTTTTGAAAGCTTTCTTTGTAAAACGTCATGTTGTACACATTGCATGTTACATTTTTTTTAACTAACCTGTCATGTTCTGACTCCATTTGCTTTTTATTTATAAACACTGTACATTTTTTTTGATTGATTTTTTTTTTTTTTTACTTTTTGTAAAGCAGGTTTTGCATTGGATTTTTGTTTCTGTGTTCTTCTTCTGCGGTTGGGTTGAAATGTAATACATTGTTCGTTGTTGTTACCCCCACTGTAAAACAACCACTCGTGTTACCTTGCATTTTGTGATTGTTTTGCCGACTTTGGTGTGAAAGGTGTTCGCTGGGTTCTTTGGTTTCAGTAATTTAGTCAACTTATTTGTAATGGTTTTTTGCAATATTTAATTTGACAAAACTATCAAATTTTGTTGAATGAATAAGTTGGTGCACTCAATATTTGCAGTTATACGTCTTCCTCTGGTTCCTATTTATTTTACCCCAGTGCAAACAATTTACATTGTATATACATGTTGTAAATTATATTAGTTTCAATTTATTGAAAGTATCATCAAAATAGCATGGCAGTCATGTTTTATGTGGAACCGAAACCACAAATATATTGGTTTCCACACTACAACATTTTTTTTGTTATGAGTCTTGCCTTCACTTCTCCCCCTGCCTCACTGACCTGCAAGTACACCCCTCTTTCTATGCTTTAGCAGACAACTCTTATTGACAAATGGCATGTGCTGTGGGTTGAACACTGCTGCCTGTCTGTCTGTGTGTTTGTTTGTTAGTTGCTTACAAGTATGAATGATCACAGCGAACGTGTGCAAATCTATCCGTAATATTTGCTATCTGATACTACGTACGTTTGTCAATACAAGAATGCTCACTAAACTTCTAACCATCAACTTAAAAGTACGTCTTCAAAAAAAAAAAATAAGAAAAAAAAAATGAATAACATGTTGACAATATTTCCACTGTTTAATGCCGGTCACCTGCCAAACAATGCAATTGTTACTGACCGCTAGGTTGGGTATTCATGACCACAACGTATATACTGTTCATAGCTTAGTACTAAACATCGTTGCTAAGATCCGTCAGCAATGCCATCATGTTTACTAGACATTTACTTATTGATCACACGAATTGTTATAAGGAAGATCTGGTTGAGCAAGTACGCTATGAAATAATGCAACTCTTTATTGATGGGAAACCCGCACAATAACACACCGGGACACTGTTCTTTTTGATAGCGCACTGATAGTTTATGAGATCACTGGCTATAAGAAAACAGTTAGTATTTACGGCTGAAAATCGTACTCTTGGCCTTAAGGTCAAGTTTGTTTTGAAGCCTACAGAACAATAAGAGATGGGCCTACTCAAAACGGCAATTGAGTATTGTCTGTTTGCTGTACAGCTCGCAGATCTGAGGCTATAATTTAAACTTTATGCGTGTACAACACTTAGGAACTATTCAAAATGTTGGCTATAATTTAGTTTTATGCTTGTACAACAGGCAGCAACATGTACCAAGCATAATAGGTGTCTAGTGCTTTATGTATATTGTATTGTGATATAGTAACTTTATAAATACACTTATAATGGTTGTTAATGTTGCAAATAAATCACCTTGTCAGACCCTTTACAATGCATTGTCTACCCACTCCCAAACTAATAAACATTCTTTATCATACGGTAACTGAGTTCTTTTTTATTTCGCTTTTTTTTTTATTTTGTAGACCGCTTTACACTGGGCTGCCAAACATGGAAAGAAAGAAATGTTGAAGTTATTTGCTGATCGACCTGATTTGGATATAAATGTGAAATCTGTAAGTGTGTGGCTGCTCACCTGAATTGTATCATGCGTATAAACCATCACCATGGCTACCCTTCTTTTTTCCCCACTGATGTTTGCTGTATTGTTTGTTACAATGTAGCTACTAAATTTTATTTCATGTATTATTTCTTGCAAGTTGTCTTACAAATGTCTCGACAACTTCTCGAAGGTTTTGTCAACTGACCTTAACATAAAAATAAATAAATGGGCATGCCATTGTGTTTGACAGCAAGTACATTACTTCTGCCTAACTAATTGTGTATGGTGTGCTTTTGTTAGTTACCTAACTCTGTACTTTCACATGCTGTACTTTTCAAATCTACCTAACTCTCTTGGCCTTTGGTGGAAAAAAAGTGTTCCAGAAGCAGAGTAGTCCTGTGCCCTCTGTAGTCCGACTATGGCTATTGTTTTGGGTGTATTGTAATTTGTTCAGTAAATTTTAACAGTAATTTATTAAAAACTAATTCATTTCTTCAACTAGTTGTGTCAGATTTGCACTAAATTTATTAATTACGAAGAGTTACAAAAAGTACAATATAGGGGAGAATATTAAAATAAGAAAGCTTTTTTCCTTTATGAGAAATTTCTGAAGTTTTAAAACCATCAATGAAATTATGGCAAGTTGTTGAAATTAACATAGTGTCATTAGAAAGAGTTATGAACTGTGCTTTTTTTTGTTATTTTTTCCATATTGTTTAATGAAGCAAAATGACTTTTTTGATACCAGATGTACACACATAGAGTAGAATGGTAGGATGTTCATGCTAAATACATGCGTAAACAGCACCAGACAGTTTGAAATTTGAATTTTATGTCGACTATTAAAGATTTTTATAAAAGTCACAGTGACTAACACAAAATTTTGTTCTCACGAAAATAACAGATTAAATTCTTTTTACATTACATAATTCTTATTTATATTTAAATCATGTTAAATATTGTGTTTTCTTTTTTCTATTTCATGTGCTTTATTGTATTTTTGGAATGCAGCATGGAGTAAGTAGTAACATATTTCCTTTTTATCTGTAACATGTTCACCACAAGCATTGGTCCATAGTGCGCCCTCACTGGTCATAGATAGTGTGATTTGTGGTGATGAGGGCGCTGTTCCAACTTTTTCTCATTTTTCAAAATTCAGGATTCTCACTTCATATAATGTAGTACAAGATAATAAGTTTACATCGACACCTGAAATAAAAAAATAAAACAGTTACAAAGCTAGTACAACAAGTGATAAGCAACAAGCCTGGTTATTTTTCTTTGATATAAAATATTTCATTTGTTTTATTATTGTATTATTGTATACAACTATATTGATTGATGGTAAGATACTTTTAAACAACACTTTGTGTCATAGAACCTCACAAAATTATAATTTGCTTTTTCGGAGAATATAAAAATGTCTGACCTCATTTGTTATCATAAAAATGTTGCAATGAACACTGTGGTTAACTGAAATTGTGTTATATTGAAATAGTTGAGTTAGAGGTTGGGGTCATGGGTATGTTTTGAAAAGAACTAAACTGAAAGAAGTCAAATTCTATGGGGAGAATGACAGAAAAAAAAAAAACTGCACAACTTTGATAAAAATACATTTTTGACAATTGCTGCATCGTGACAAATGTATTTATATTTTATATCATCTTCTCTCCCAGAGTTTCTGAGGTTTATCCTCTTATCATATAGCAATACGGAGAAGAACATTATTACTATATAACATTACTCGGCTGCCTCATTGTTATCTTTTCCCACGTTACAGTTCTTAAATTGTATTAGATCATCATTAATCCTACAAAAATTACAGAGAAATGAATAATTTAGCTGATAATCTTGGTTTGAAATTGTTCTTAGCTATTGATGACGAATTATATACATGATTGCATCTGTTGAATCATTAAGCAGATGCCGAGTGATAGACAAATTGAGGCATTTTGCAGTTTACATCTTGAGAACACTAATGATAGATGATTTTTACCAGAGAAAGTTTACAATGGTGACACTGTTCTGTTTCAGGGTTATACCCCGCTACATATTGCATCGATGTATGGAAATGAAGCTGCCATTCAAATGCTTTTATCAGATTTTAGTAAGTGCAGATCATTTTAATATTTCACAATCTTGCACTAAATATAAACTTGTTTTGATCAATTTAAACTATCCGTAAAAGAGTTAGCTCATTAGAAATTGGGGGGAAATACTGTAAAACACGTCTTTTTACCTAGCATGTCATTTTAGCTAATCTGTAATTTCGCTAATTCAAGATGTCGCTAATTCAAGATGTCGTTAATTTAGAAAATAGTATATTCTTGATATTACAATCAGATTGGCATTTTAACTAAATTAAAATTTTGTTAATTTATGTATTTATTCAAATTTGCTAAAATGGCATGTAGCTATTTCAATGTGTTTTACAGTACTTGTAAGATACTACAAAATTTCACAAAAGTCAGTGTGACTGATAACTCAAATGCAATATTTAGCGCTATACAATTTGTAAAATTTATGAAAATTTGCCTCATGCAGAATTAAAGTTTATGCGGTATACACTGAAGCAAAGTGGTCAGCTAACCACCATCAGATAGTATGTGTTTATCAACTTTCAAATGAGTACAGATGTATTTTTGAATGAATGGTAAATTGTTTTAGATGTATAATAATTTGTATTGGCTAATAAAAATGGACACAAAAATAGTAGTAACTAGGATGGCTGGGATGGCATCATACCTGTGTGAGTGCGCATCTTATAGCTAAATTATAGTACAATACCAGTATATGTACTTTGGCATATTTCTTATGGATACACACAAATACTTTTACTGGTTCTTATAGACCTTGGCTGTTTGTCACTTGAACATTAACGCTTGTGGTATGTTGTTCATTATTTTCAGAGGCCAACGTTGATGCTCGAGATTACAGCGGAAAAAAACCAAAGCAGCACATGAAGAAGAACTGCGCTAATTACATCCAACGTAAGCTTGACCCTTCCATCCCTAGTATAGGAGTAGAAAGTAGTCTTGATACCGGCGGCTTTGAAGATGACAAATTGCATACCGGTACAAGCTTTTCTCGCGCTTTTAGTTTTCGCTTATCATCATTTGGTAGAGATTCATTTCGTAAATCAAAGAAGGGCCGTAGCGAGTCTACAAGTTGAACTGCTATTCTGTAAATTGCATGTGTGTATTGTGTTGTAAGTAACTGACACGAATGCGCATTCAAGTTCTGTCTTTTTTTTCTGTTTAACCGCGAATTATTAATAATCAGATATCAATGACGTGTATTCGATTATTGGTTTGCAAACAAATTAAATCTACTTGCATCATATGCATATGTAAACATGTTTAGAAAAA